ACGACATCGAGATTAACAGATAACACAAAGATCCTGCATGGATGTGACTTTAATGTGGTTAATGTGGTACAAGGAAATAATATTGCACAGTCCTAAAACAAGATAAGAAAACAAAAGACACTTAGCTCAAAGTTGTGAACTGAATGATTGTGTAAGTTTGCCTGTCAATTTGGCAAGATCGGCTGTTCATTTCCCCCTTTTTTTGTTGCACCTTTCCATCCACAATGCTGTTTTTCCACCATTGATGGTGTCGAAAACTCAGTCTTCACTCAGGTTGGGAGATTGTCAACAGAGATCTTTAATACAATCAGCTGAAGGGGAGCACATCACAGAGATAGAGTTTCCCCTAGCACTCAAGACATGCTCCCTGGACTGAAGTTATACTTTCCTTTTTATACATTAAAAGTAGGTAAGACTTTAACATATCAAAGGAACATAAAGGGAAAGGGGCAGTGTCAGAAGTCAAACAAACAGGACAGGAAGATGCCATTTGGCATCCTGCAATCTGTTTCATTTCTCTCTGGTTGAATGGGTGTGAGGAATCACAGGCTTTAGTTTGCACCTAAGACAGTGGTCTTAGGTGCGAACAGAAAACATTTCCCGCCCATAGTCACTGTCCTGACCTTTTGACTCGGTCTTCCAAAATGGCAAAAGTTCATGAAATAATTTCTGTAGTGTTTAGTCTTCACCCGTTTGGTATTGGTTTTATTGATTTAGTCTATCACGGTAAAAGCCTGAAATTGTAAATGCTTCAACAAACTTTTTCTGATGTACAGAATACTTTACAGGGGAGGAACTGGGAATGTTCAACCACAACACCACATGATTTATTACTCTCTTCAAATACATGATATGGAAATGTGAGTTAATCCAAACCAGACAGCACTCTGTCCTGTATTTGCCAAGTTCTTGCTAATGAATTCATGCTTGGATTTCTGGATAAAAAAAGACTGCCGATAAACTTTCAATGCCTGACAGAAACTAAAGTATGTGCAGTTGCTGTTTTCCCAGTAGACCCAGGATTCTCTCCTGTAGGAAAAGAACCAAGGTCCTGACCTTTCTTAGGGTCTATACTTCTGCTGCACAGAACAACTGGGCCTCACTTCTCCCCTGGGCAGAGTACTCCCACAATTATCTCTCCACCTCTGCTAGAGGTATGTCCCCTTTCTTTGCTCTCTGGGCTACCAACCCACCCTTATTCCTGATGATTGTCCCCCCATGTCCATAAAGTGCCTCAGTATGGCACTATATTTCCAGAATATGGAAAATCTGGCAAACTGCCAAACATTTCCTCCTCTGAACAACGCAGCCTCAGATCGCCTCAGCCAACCACCATCGCCGCCCCTCCCCCCTATACCAAAGAGGACAATTCGTCTGGCTGTCCACTAGGAACCTGCCCATACGACAACCATCCCGTAAACTCGGTCAACGTTTCATTGGTTCACCATTTCACCGTTCTTTAATCCAAGAATTCCATCGGGCCTTCCCAGGCCGGCCATCAAGGGCGCCAGGAGTCGCCCATGAGGGGGGGGGGGGTACTGTAACAACTCACTAATTGATCCTCATTATCTCACCACGCCCCTTCTTCCTCTATTTAAACCTTCACCCACACTGAACTGGTGCTTAGTATTAGGAGAACCTCCAACCTCGAGCTCACTGCCTCCTCGGCATTTCACTCACTAAGCTTGTTCTATCTTGTCAAGATTTCCCGGTTCCTCCACGACTACACGTTTTGTCTCTGTTCCTTCGGATCTGTTTGCCTCGATACACACCACGATCTCTAACCTGCATAGGGTCCTGTACCCACCTGTTTTTAAAAGTATCTGATCTTTATCTTTTGTACCATTGTCTATGACTATGTTCAAAGTTTTTTTTCCGTTTCTTACACTAACTGATTCAAACTGTTTTGGAATTGGTTTTCTTTGCAAAACGTCAGCTTTAACAAACCTTCTGAGTTTTTGTTTTTAATGTCCTTTTGTATCATAGAGTGATGGTACTCTTTGGATGAAGAAAATGGTCTTTGATGTTTATTTGTTGAGGGCTTGATGGCTTTCGTTCAAGAGTAATGTATGTCGATCAAAAATAAGGTGATCTAAACTTCTAGGCATAAATTATTCCTTTTCCTCAAGTGATGTAATCAATGCTTACTGAACCCAGTAAATGTAGAAAGTTAAATTGAGCAAAAACATGTTTTACCTCTTGGCAATTCTTGCTATTAATACCATTTTAACTGTACAGTATTTGGTTTATGTGCCTTAAAGGTAAAAGGGTTATGTATTTGTGTTGCAGCTGAACAATTATTCTGATACTGACAAATGCATGACACACATTTCCTTCCTTAATGACTGTTTGTCCATACAAGTTTTTGTTTATGTAGCATGTCAAACTAATTTAATTTTTTTTCTGAAAATGAATCATGTAGAATTACTTACTTTGCCAAAGTTATTGTCTAAAAATACTCTGCAGTCATATCAGTACATGTATAGCTTTCCTGAGGCCTTACTGTATTTGAAACTATATTGGAATTGGTCAAAACTGGAAGGAAAATCCAAAAGTTAAAAATAAGTTTTGTGTTTTCTCTTCAGAAGTTCTAGTTTCGTTTTCGTTTTCGTAACATCCTCCTGACATTGAGAGTGCAGGCCGAGATGGGGGTTGGTGATCAACACTCTCTGTGTGACCTAAAATATATAATTTTTTTAAATTGCAGGACATGCTTAGCAGTTACAGTCATGTGAGGGGAAAACAGGAAGTGAGGTAGCAGGTATTTCCTTTACATGTGGAAAGTGCTTCCCTATCAAGCACAGCCTTTAGAACATCCATGGAAAGAGGAAGTCCAGTTTTCTCATTCTGAGACTATTGAATGGAAGAATATTTATCATCCGCAAATATTTCACAATCAAGAATTTATGTAACATGACAGTAATGTAAAATACTTCAGATCAAAATGCAGATCCACAATCTGTAGTTTTAGGTTGTCTCTATCTAGGTCTTTGAACCCAAACATTTCCTGCCCATGCTCTGTAAAAGTGCTGCAGTAAAGACTTACTGTACTAAAATAAGGATATAAGAAGCTTGTTTGGCCTATCTAAGTTATTTGGTTTCTACTTGCTTATTGGTTGATTTAAAAGTTCATCTTTCTTAAATTAACCCAGTTAACCACTTGAACATTTTAACTCCCGGTTCTACTTATATTTACTAGTGCTAATCTCATTTTTGTACTTGTAGTCCTCACTTCACAAATGTTGAGTGTTTATATCTACAGTACACCACAAAGTCTTGTTTTCTGAGTGACTGCACAAATTCAGTCTGATTTATGGTGTCCTTTGCAGTTTGGGAATTATTCAGGCTGTTGTGTGCTCTTTACAGTAGAAACATTTCAATGTTTTCTTTCCAGCTGAAGTACTTTGTTTTCACCATCCCATTTTTAGATTTTTTTACATTATATTGGCCCTCTGGAAATTGTGTTACTCAGTTTTGCATTGCGTCGTACAGTTCTCCTCCCTTGATTTTAGTCAGTGCTTTCCCAAAAGTGGCACAGCTGGTGAGAGCTCTCACTCACAGTCCAGGTTTAGAGTGGGTCATGTCTCTAGTCTACTGTGACTGCTTTTCCCCTTAAGGTGGCACACAAAACTCCAATGCGTGTAATATTGTTATCAGTGACCCCTGAAGCTTTCTGGGCTCCTACAGACTTGCAGTGTGGTCTGAGAGTGTCAAATGGTAAGCAGCTCAACATCAGCACTGTGGTGGTGTATGCGAGCAGTCCTCTCTTTGCACCAGCGCATGATCAATAGGAGCCAGCTGATTACATGAATAATTAGTGGTTCCAAATATGAGGGTATAAAAAATGCAACCTTAAATTTCCACTTTAAAAGGAATGTATAACAATTTTACAGCTGAGGCTTTGAATTTTTAGGATAGACTGTCTTGCAGGGCTGCAGTTTCTGAGGGTTTTCTTTCCAGCTCTGTTCTAAATGGCTTAATTGGCCCAATTAAGCTCATCATTAGGGTAACTGGATCAATTTAGCACTTCACAAAGGTCTTAAGTTGTGGATGATTTGAAGAGAAACTGCTGGCTTCTGGCTCTCAAGGACTGAAGTTGAGAACTTATTGTTCCAAAGTTACAATAAAGTGTTATTAGACTTAAAAACCACCAGAAAATGCCCAACATTTCTAATACATTTTTATTTCCACATGTCTGTCTTTTTGGTCTCTTCAGTTTCTGCCTGTGTAGATTGTTACCTTCCTTGCTACTCACTCCAAGAGCAGTGATTCAGTCAGCTCAGTGCTGCTCTGACTGCTTTTACTAGAATCTCGCACCACTTACTGAGCTCAGCTAGATTCCCTTGAACTGGCTACTCTGTTCCCAAATTGAAGTCACTCTGCTCCATCTACATTCTCCAGCTGCCTAGAGACAACACCATGCAATTTTTGTGACTCAGCTAGCCACACACCTATATTTGTAGTGAAAGCTGTGTGTGTGTTAAATGATAACTAACTGGGTTTATCCCTGACACTAGAACAGCTATCCTTTTTCATTTTTGTTTTGTGTGTCTTTCTAGTTTATCTTCTGGGGAAAAAAATGACAAAGGATATCAAACAGAGTAGGGGATCAGGTGATGACCTCATTCCAGATGTCCACAGCACTGACCTAATTATGTTTTTAAGTTAGACAGTGGACTTATGCATATCCCACCCCTGTTCTGCTTTCCATTTCTATACATTTTAGAGCCCCTCTCTTGCTATCCAATATATAATAGATGATATTCCCCCAGTAAGAAAGTAAACTATATACTCCTGATGGTATTCACTAAAGTATTTTAGCATTAAAAGTAGTGAAATCTGATCATGATAATATGCTTGCCTGAAGATGAAGACTATGGAGGGTAAGAAACTGGCCTGTAGTGGATAGCAATGTCCTTGCTATCAAGGTCAACTTAATTGGCTTGTAATCTGTCAAGCTGTTAAACCCTGAAATACAAAGTTCCACCATGACCACAAAGTAAAACGGACAGTTTTATTGTAGTTTTCATACATTCGTCAATAGTTTTACCGCCTGTGGCTACCAGCAATTAAGAAATGACAAGAAAAATCATTCAGGTTGCATTCAACCATTCTGTTCTCTTGTTATGAATGTGTCCGCATATAATCCTGTACGTGGGTAGGTGTGATGGTCTTCATTTGGGCCTAGCATCTCTTAATGCAAAAATTGCCATGGAAACAGGTTTATGCTCAGAGGTCATGTGGAGGTCAAAAACGACATACAGTAATGGTCCGCACACTACCCCGTCCTGGTAAGACCCTGAAAAGATGTCCCACTTTTTCTTTTACAGATGTAGACTGAACCATCTTGTGCTGCATTTGAAAATTTAACTGCGTGGCTCCCTATCCTTTAGATACAGTTCACTCCAGAGCTGATCTGAAATATTAGGACATAAAACAGTAAAACAGAATGAATAAAGTGCAAAGAGGCCTGTTTTACTGAGATTAGGACCAGATATGTTTCACCACAAAAAGAGACCCATATTACAATGATGCTCTGTAAAGTAATTATAATTGCTTACACTTATATAGCACTTTTCTGGACACTCCACTCAAAGGGCTTTTCAGGTAATGGGGACTCCCCTCCACCACCAACAATGTGCAGCATCCACCTGGATGTAGGCTTGATACAGAGTGTGGAGGTTTTAATGGCAAAATTAGAGTACTCGGTTTGCAAGTAATAGGTAGTAGTGCTTTGTCTTACACATAAATATGTGCACAAATGTGTATATATTAAAAATAAATACATTTTATATAAACAAATAGTTATATAAATATCAATAAATAGTAGCAAAATGACAGTGCTTTCTGAAAACATTACAAAACCACAACTGAGATGGAGATTTGTTTGTCCCTGTTATTGTCCAGAGCCAGTCTATCGTACAGCTGGAAGGATTCCTGTCCTTTATGGCACATAACCAGTCCTCAGCCCCTGTGGGTTATAGCTGTTTGCACCCAGAAACAGTCCAGCTTTCAGAAGGAAGAGTCCCTTTGCTGCTCCCTCTGGCAGGCAGCAGGAACTGCAGCTCTGGCTGCTGAGGCTCTGCAGCGCTACTCCTTCTCTGCTACTTGTCGAGTCCACCACTCCGCGTTGGCGAAGACAGCTCCATTTATCGGTTCAGCTGATCGATCAGGAAGATCCCGAAGCCCGATCGGTTCTCATCCAGCTTCCAGTCTGACTGCTCGGTGTCCACTTTCATACTGGCATGGAGTTGGCTGTGTGAAGACAGAGTTGTAATGTTCCAGCACTTTTGCACCTGTGTGTCAAAGGTGTCCGGGATGTCGATGCGGCAGTCCAGCACAACATCGTTCTTATTCATGAATGTAACAGTCACCGAGCCGCTCTTGCAGTTGGCTGTGCAGGTCAGCACCAAATCGACGTACAGGTAGAACATCCCTTCCACGGTGGGCGAAATTACGCCTGTGATTTGGTTGAACGTAAAGAGGGTCCCCACAGGGTTTCCCCCAGCGCTTCTCACGGATCGCCACTTCATAGACTGGTTGGAGATCTTGCCTAGAAGGATACAGGAAGAAGAGGGGATTTTAGTTTGGAAGCTTTTAATAAAACCAGTTGACAATGGGATTGTGTATTGTCTATTCTGTGAATTAAGACAATAGTTTTATAGGCAGTGGCTGAGTAAGTTTACTTTATCAAATGAGTCTTTAGTACATGGAGTGTTACATGTTCAGTTCATTCTGATGTTATTTTGCTGGTGCATGTCCCAGGATAATTCAGAGATAAGTAGACAGAACATGTGTGGATTCAGCTCAGTTCACAGCTCAACACCATCCTCTAGAGGAGAGTTTCTTGAGCTCCCTGTTGCATTTTGATCTTTTAAGACTTTGAGCACAGAAATCCTGGCAGATTTTGCAAATGCAGTAAGATGTAAAAAGCTGGTGATGTCTTGCAGTAATTGACAAATTCATAATCCAGTTCTGCATTCTTGATCTGCTAATGTGTTGATCTGTCAGCACTAGTGATCATGAAGGCATGGTCACTATACCTTTCTTATAACAGTAACAGTTTGCAAATGGCTACAACATGATTTATTGAATCTTACACTTGGACAGCATTAACAGATACACAGTTCATAGGCACTGCAAGACAAACTACCTTGAAAGTCAATATCTGGACAATTTTAATGCATGCAAAATAATAAAAAGAGACAAATATTGGAGACTCACCTGTGTCTGCATGCACATATGCAATTTTCTGTAAAAGAAGGAAAGACAGTGTTAGATTTTTATAAAGGTTATTTTAAGGATTAGGTCAAATGATCTTTACAGTGTTATAAACCAGCCTGTACTGGGGCCACTATGTAAAAAGGCAGGGAATGTTATATGAATCTGTCACTCTGAAGTGTTCTGCAGTGTTGTGGTTTCCTATACAAGAAACAAGTGGGCAATACATTTAGTACCATTTATTTTCAAACATAAAGTGAGTCAGAAAACTATTTTGCATTTTGGCTTTAAATAGAGCTCACAGTATAATCTTAGAAAATAGAGCAAGAAGAAATATGGCATTGGTTTGATTTTTGTAAAGGGGATGTCAGTCTCTGCTTAATTCTTATCCTGTTTAAATGCATATGTTTAAATCATTACTATAAACCCAAGCTGTAATTTTTTACACTTTTTCAATGTGTGCAAGGAAAACACTGCCACCACTGCTACTGCCCATACAGTGCTGATACCTCTGTCCAGTTTTTAACCCATCTGAGGCTTTAAGCTTGGTAAAATGAATTAATACATTCACCAAAAGTACTAGAGTCATTACATTTCTTCACTGGTACCTTCAACTTTAACACTCAGGGTTACAGTGTGAGTGTGTGTACAGTCAAGCTGTGTTTACCAGAATCATGCTGCTGATCTCTTAAGGAAATAAAATTAATAGGTCACAAAACGATGCCAAAAATAAATAGTAAAAAACATACTGCATTATGACCTACTGTAGAACTTCGTGACTGGCTTATTCATGCAACAGGAACTAGCAGTAATTGCCAATTAACAATTAACAATTAAGGGAAAGGTACTCCAAATTTATACTCGGACAGACAGGTTTGTGGCTCGTCTTCAGATTATTAGATAACTGAAATGCTTCATTTGTTTTACAGTGTAAACAGTTCATTACATGCAAGGATGCTTAATGCTGAAGTTCTGTATGGTAATTGCTATTCGCTCCGATAGAGGAGAAGCAACCAAGTGCACTCTGTTTACCTTGTAGTAAGGCTCCCCGGGTAGCGCTCGTCTCGAACTGGGAGTGGGGAGATCCGCGATCCTTTCCTCACTACTCTTCAGGTTCTGGAGAAACACGGCCGCGCCAGCTGCGGCTCCGAATACCGCCAGAAACAGAAACACCACAGAAGCGAGAAGAAATTTATCCAGGCAACGTCCACGGGAGCGCTCCACCAGACTCTCGGGGTCGGCGGCTGTCATGTTTGTCGCAGCTCAAGGAAACAGCTAAATCCAATGGAGCGTAGTGTTTGCTTTGCCCGTTTCGAGCCGCTCTGTTATTGTTTTGGGCTGTAGATGAGTCAGTCCTCACTAGATACAGCAAAGGCTGCAGATCATTGTCGTGTTCAGCAATTTTTAAGCTGTAAACCATACATGTGCCCGTATTTATAGGTCTATAGTCTGAAAAAAAGGAAGTGCGCATGGGTTTCCCCTGAGACTACAGGACTCCGACAGAAAAAAAGAACTCGAAATTTTCCGCTCTCGGTGTCATTGCGCAAACAGTGCTGAAGACACTAGTGAATGGAAAGGAAATCCAGACTAAAATAGCAGGAGGTAACAAATGAGTAATGGATGAAAGTTAACTGAAGATGTAGTCCCTATGGGTGTAAAACAGAGTTTTCCTTTAATCTCCTTCGGGCAGAAGACGTGCCCCTTCATCTTCTCTGGTCCCGTTTTGTGCCTTAAATCTGAACACTTAAAATGTTTGAAACTCTTCAAGGAGCGACACCATATTTATCTCGCGCTAAAATTAAACAGTGGATTTAAAAATCTGAGATTAGTTAACAGGGGTGTTTAGAAAACATAAAAAAATTGGTACTACATTCCCGTGCGGGGAAATTGTTTTAGCTATTTTTTTCTTGTCCATCAACCCCAAATGTATCAGTGACAGACTTGTCGTCTGGTACTGTATGTGATAAAAAATGTGGTTGTGTTAAACATGACGTGTATTAAATAAAAAAAAAGATGATGAAAAATATCAACTTAAGAACCGCTCCAAATTGGCACCCGAACTTCAGACATGTACTGTATCTAAAAAATTGCGTTTTCCAAAAATCAGTGACTCATCGACTTGTCGAAATGTGTTCCATGTTGCATTCTACTGTTCAAAAACGGGTCAATTACTTACAAACTTGGTAATTTATTCTATTGACAATACAATTAAAATAAAATAAAGTAGAAAGTGGCTACGTGACTGCCACCTTGGGAAATTTCAGACCTGTTTTGTATAAAATTGGCTTAAGTGGTATTATCATCCCTGACATTAAAAAAAATCTTAAGTTCCTACTTTAACAAATGGGTGTATTGAAATTGCTTAATGAATAGCATTTCATATTGTTACTGATTATTTCCTTGAGTCTTTGATTTCTTCTTCTGGTTATTATTTTTAAGTTGTTAAGTTTTATAAATTATAAAAAAAAAAACATTTTAAAGCCTCACAAAATTATACACATCTCTCCCTTGGTTAACATGTTTACATATTATTCATTTTTAGAAAATGCCCTTATCCAAGGCCACTTAGATATTTGCAGCAACTCTGTTTTAATCTAGTGGAGTAATGTTATTATTGTTGTTTTTGCTGTTATTACATTAATTTTGAGATGTATTTTGAACATCAATGTTCTGTACATGTACTTAAGTTGAGTGACATTGCTACATCTCAGTGCTAGTGCCCTGGGTTCAGTTCCTGGGGTCCTATCTGTGTGGAGTTTGTATGTTCTCCCCATGTTCACATACTGTAGGTGTCTTCCCACAATCCAAGACATACAGTACCTCTAATTTTGACTATTATGACTATATGACAAAATTAGTCATACAATGACATGATATAGCCATTATCATCTACCCATGACCCTGCAGTAATAATCTGGCAGACAATCCAGTGTCACCTGGCAGCCATTATCTTCCTAATGAGATTGTCTCATGCAGGTGTTTTATGTGCACACAGATAACATTTTGACCTTTCTGGGAAAGCTGGTATTTGGCCAGTATTTGAGCCACTGACTTTGTGTTTAATTTGCATGACACTGAAAATAGAAATTTGAAAAATAGGTTTTCTCGCATAGTAGCTTTGAGCACATTTAGTTGCCAAATTCTCAGCTAAATTGTCATACTGCCTCATTATAATTTTATGGGTTTATTGTAATCAGCTTCTTTACCTCTATAACAATAAGACCTTTCCAAAATGTTAACTGACCAAAATATACATTCAATACATATATGATGACATCACTGATGTAAGATGACAAAAATCTCCAGACAAAAAAAAATCTCCAGACAACTACTGGCTCTCCATTTCCATCCATCATTTTCTAACCACTTCTTCCAACTCAGGGTAGCAGTGGAGCTGGAGTCAATCTCAGCAAGCAACTGTCTCCACTAGGGTACACCTTGGAGAGGATGACAGTACATTGCAGGGGAGACACAAACACAGACATGCTTATCAGGCCTGATTTTCTACAAGTATGCCAGAAACCTACCAGTTTGTCTTTGGATTGGGGAGGAAATCCACATGAACATACAAACTCCTCACAGATAACACTCTTGGACTGGAACTAAACCCAGGGCCCCAGCACTGCGATGCTGCAATACTAACAACTGCATCACTGTGCCACTCCACTCTGTAGTGTAAAAGATTTAATTTAATATACTAATACATTCCAATAAGTATTTGAAGGGCTAAAAAGGGAATCAATAAAAAGTGGAAGAGGTATAATTTATTATAAAAGAGTTTTACTCTCACCAGTGAATACCCTTGGTGCCAGGACTTACTGTATGTCTACAGCTTTTCATAATTAGAAAGTATTTTATATTTCTGTGAATCTACCATGCTGTATAGGTGTGGAAATAAGGTTCATTCTTGGTATTTTCATTCCTACTGTAATTTATATTTACTGTACATCATTTTAAACCACAGTACTATTCAGCGTACTTTATGTGCTTCTGTTCTGGGAAGTACTGTACCTGTTACACAAGCCCTGAAGCTATTTTTAGTAAGAAACGTTTAGGCAAAAGTTAGGGATTTGTAATTATTGGTATTCACCTCATGCCAAAACTAGATCCATTCCATTGTCAGGAAAGTATATTTAACTGAGGAATCTAGTGAGATAAAGCCATTACAGGGGCTTGTTTTAGCACATTGTGTGTGGTGATTGTGTTTTCAGGGAGAGCTAAGCATTCTGCATTTTTCATGTTATGGTAACTGTTCACAGGAATGCCAAGGAATTGTGTCAACATGAATTGAAGAAGGAAAAATTTGATCCACAGATGCTGGGTTTTAACATATGTACTCAATGTTCAAAGTCAAGATAATGTGACCTCTGGTTCAAAGTGCAGAGTGTTACTATGTCTGAAACGTTTTGTGATTAGTGAATGTCAAAGTGCTTCAAACTTTTATATAAACTGTAAACTAGTTTACATAAAATCTTTTTTCAGCAAACTTCCCATATTAACCTTTTACATTGAGTGTGACCAATGTTATTTTTACTCACTAAATTCTCACAACATTCATAGAACAAGAGAAAAAAAACTGATGAGATTTGAGATTCTGAAAAACAAAAGTTCAGCCCATAAGCATGAGGTTTGAAAAATGTTCCTCAGTAGTGACTAAGTTTTTGTTTTAATTGGATCCTGGAGGATTTATTTTCCTGTGTAAATCGCTGTGTGCTCAAGATTTCAGGAATTTTTAAATTGGCCAAATTAATTGAATACTTTGTGGAGCTAAGCTCAGCTGTCATGAAACTTACAAGGGTCCACAGTCATGTGTGTGATTTCCTGGGACCTCCTCTACAAGTGTTTTTTTTTTTATAGATAATGAATTTTGCTGACTGTGAAACTTTCCAAAACTTTTGCCATGCAAACTATTTCTAGTATCTGCCCTCACACACTTAGAAGCTTGCAGCTAATGTTTGGGAGCATTTTATCCACATATGAATCCAGATCACCTTCAATAACATGAACAAGCAGCCTGTTCCAGACATCTACCGCTCTTTGCATAAAGAAGTGTTAACTATTCTCAGTCATAAATTCATTATCTTCCACTTTACATTTGTTTCCCTGCAGCCTTGTTTCTATTGGATTAAACATGTCAGTACCGCGTGGTTTTTTAAACACTTGTATCAAGTCCCTTCTTTTTTTCTTGACGACTGAAAACAATTTTTTCCCTGTCTGGTTTTGACATACTTCTTAGAGGAAGAATGGCAATAAAAATCCCTTTGTTTTCAATCATAGCCTTTAAGGCTAGCCCAACATTGACGTGAAACTGTTTAGAAGAAGTTTTTTTTTTTCTATTTCTTTGCGTAGTGCCAGTAATCTGGTGAACCCATAGGAAATAAAATCCAGGTAAAATACAGTATTTATCAGAATCTGTAATCAATGTAGTGCGAGTGCAGATATCCAAGATAGAAGTCCAAATAGGCTAATAGTGGTTGTTCATTTAATCTCTGATTAACAGTTTATTCCTTCATTAATCAATAAGGTGATGGTATTAGTCATTTTTTAATAGTTAAAATAACTTCATATTTAATTATTACATTTTCCAAAAGTTAGTTTAATGGTACTTTTTGGAGAAAGCTTTATTTCATGTATTGTCAGCCGCTCCGATCTCCTGTTAATTTGATATTTTAGTAAGCATTTGCCCAGATGTTCTTCATCATCTTCCTTTTTTACTGTCTTAAGCACATTATTTCCTTATTTCATTATTATTTTATTTTTTTTTTCTATTTCTTTGTGTAGTGCCAGTAATCTGGTGAACCCATAGGAAATAAAATCCAGGTACAGTATTTATTATTTCCCAAAAGCAGCTGACTCAGGTTTAAAAATAAAATGACAGATTTATAAAAAACACTGTATCTCTGCCAAAATAGCAGACATAGCAGTTGATGAAGATAAATACTATGTGGCATTGTATGTAAATAAGTATATAGAAGCTTTTGTTTACAAAAATGGATGTTGAGAGGTTGATGACATCATTCCTGTTAGAGTGTATTTAAAGGATAGGGGAATATTGTTTCTTAAAGGTTATTCTGTGGGCATCACACTGATTCTGGACATTCTGAGGGAACATTTCCTCTGGCAATGCCTACAGAGCAAGGGCCCTGATTCGCTAGACAGACAGAGGTGAAAAAACAAAGGATTTACCCAAAGTCCTGACTCGTGGTCAGATGTTTACAGAAACTGACAGTCCTTTTACAATGCTACAGCACTCAGTTCCCTTCTGAAAGTGATACTTCGTGTAAGCCATTAAGGGAAATTTCAGGCCCTATCAGGCTGCAGCCTTTTTTTGAGCAGTTGAAGGCTGGGCTGAAGGACACTGCAGAAGTGTGTCGTCATACCTTTAAGCACAATACCTGCTCTGACCAGAGAAGAGCCTGTGTTACTAATGACGTAGTGCAGTGATGATCAGAAGACAGAACGGGCTCCTAAAATCAACTACAATCAAGTTGCAAAAACTGACTACAGCCGAATTTAAGAAAATTAATGGAAGGTGGGCTGACAA